CACCAAAGGCCAGAGAGCTCCTGCTTGTCCTGGGACAATAGATGCTGGAGATGGCAGCTGAGTCCCTGCCCACCCGCCAGGCCCAGCTGCTCTCCAGAACAGGGGGAGACCCTGACCCCCAACCCAACCCCCTCTCCAGGATCAGCACAGAAGGCCCATCACTATTCCCCCTCCTCCTGCTGCCATCTGTTAGGCACCCATACAGGCTGTCACCTCCTATGATCTGTGTTGCACATACACCCACACCAGCTGTCACATCCCCCATAAACACTCATCGGTCACACATGTTATATGTGTCATACACAACCAGTTCTCACGGCCAGTCAGGTCTTCTTACATACTCACAAGACGTCACATTGTGTTACACACACACACACACACACACACACACACACACACTGCCTGTGACACCTTTCCCTTGTCCACTCACAGGGTCTGACACCTCCAAGAACCCTTATAAACTCCATGCTGACTCAGGAACTCAGAGTCATCTATGCCATCTGTCACCCACCCAATAAGGCTTTCACTCCCTCTGCCAGTCCCAGTAACTCGGTCAGGCTGTCACCTCCACTTACAGACATCAACAGCCCATCACCTCCTCCTGCATCACACAAACACACACATACAGTCACTGCCTCCTACACCTATATACACTCACTGTCATGCACATCATCTGTGTCACACAAACTGAGGCCCTCTGTCTCCCCAACACTCACTTCTTCCTCTGCTCTGGGGGCTCCAACCGGGCTGCCAGTCCAAAATCCCCTACCTTCAGCTCCATGTTCTCAGTGATGAAAAAATTTCCTGGACAGTGGAAGAGAGGTGTCTCATAGACTCCTTCCTCCTTTGCCCCCCAACACCCCAATTCTCCCAACCCACTGGCCCAAGATTCTTACCCAGCTTGAGATCCCGGTGCAATATTCCTCGATGGTGCAGGTACTTGAGGCCGGAAAGGATCTGCCGCAGGTAGTAACGCACCTCTGGTTCCAACAGGGTGTGCCGGGCTTTCCAGATGTGGGCTAGGGACTGCAGGGAGCCACTCTCAGTGCTGCCCCTGGCCTGCTCCTGCCTGACCCTCCCCCATCTGTCCTCCCTGAGGGAGAAACAGGGCCCCAGCCGTGGGTCTTGAAGGTCCCTTTCCCTGCCCCATTACCATCCCCTTCACTGACCACTCACCTTTCGACTGCAGAGCTCCAGGAAAATGTATATGTTGTCTGCATCCTCAAAGTGGTGAGAAAAACGCACGATGTGGCGGTGCTGCAGATCTCTGTGCAGCTCAATCTCGTTAAGAATCTACGTAGATAGGGCCGCAGAGGTCGTTATTCACCAAGGGTGTCCATAGAACTGACTCCCCTCACGCCACCTCCCTATCACCACCACCACCATGCATCTGCGGAGCCTGGACCCACCTTCTCGCGCTGATGCGGCTTGGCGACGCGGCTCTGCGGGATGACTTTGACCGCATAGGCGCTGCCAGTCTGTGTGTCAGTGGCTTCATAGCAGCGGGCGAAGCCCCCCTATGAGGAAAGGGCATCACACAGGCTCTCATAGGGAGTCCAGTTTTGGCTAGTACAGATTCCCGCGCTGAGGGCAACCACCTCCGCTTGTCCCAGAGAAAAGCCCAGCCGGGTCCCTCTGCCTGCCAGTACCCCCCGACCCGTGGTAGACCCTGGCCCACCTTGCCCAGTAGGCGACCCTTGAAGTAGGTGCGGCCACTGCGCGGGTCCGTGATGAGACGTCCATGGTCCGGTGCTGGTGCCCCAGCCAGCACCTCCGGCTCAGGTCCCGACGCAGCACTCTGAGGAGGCCCCGGGCCCGCAGGAGACGAGGGCGGAGCAGCTGCACGTGGGAAGGGGCGCTGGGACAGTAAGGCGGCGGCAGGCTCCATGCGGCCGAGTCACAGCGCAGGCCCGGCTGGTTCTCGGTCCCGCCCGGCCGCTGCCGCGCGTGGCACTGGGTCTCTCACACAGCGATCGCGCCCGGGAGTCTGGCGTTTTTATCAATGAACAACTGTCTCCTCCCAGGGGTTACGTCACGGAGAGCCCCGCCCTCTTCCTGGAGGCAAGTCACCGAGAAGTCACTCTCCTGAGCGCACGTCACCTAGAAACTCCGCCCCCTCCCGAGGCACCTCGATACCCAGCCCCCCTGGCTCACACCTTAAATGCATAACCCCTATGAAAGGAACCCCATAGAAAGTTGTGTACCCGGTATGTAGGGATTGTTTCCTGTCCCCCATCTCTGGAAACAATCCAGCTAGTTGGAGGTACTTTTTTCTCCCATCCTTTGGGGCGTATGCTTAAGTCTGGGGGCAAACTGGGAATCTAGAGACAGCTCCCTACCAACAGGAGGGCTGGTGTTCCAGGCGGGAGGACCGAGGCAGGGGCGGTGCTTACTCTCTCCCGGGCGTGTCCGCACTTCGCTTTCAGTTAGTGAGATCTTGAGCGCGTCCCAAGCCCAGGGCCGAGGCCACAGGCCTAGCTCAGTGTTGTCCCCTTTAGGGACTAGGAGGGATTGCACACTAACGAGCTACGTTTGTTCTTTCTCTATTTGGGGGGTGGATCCTAGACTCCAGAGTCTCTTATTCCTTTCCTAGGAAAACGCCTATTAAAAATAATGCTCAGAGTCGGCAGTCGGAAAGTGAAGAATGAAAACTAGATTTATAAAAAATATTTTTTTAAATTAAACTAAGTTCAAGCTGCTTTGAAGGAAATAGCAAAAAATAAGGCCCCAGGAATAGATGGTATACCAATTGAAGTATTTCAGATAACAGATGTTGCCCTGGATGTGCTCACCAAGTTGTGCCAAGAAATCTGGAGAACAACCACTTGGCCAACTGACGGGAAGAGATCTATATTTGTTCCCATTCCAAAGAAAGGTGACCCAACTGAGTGTGGAAACTACAGGACAGTGTCATTGATTTCACATGCAAGCAAGATTCTACTGAAGATCATCCAAAAATGATTAGAACAGCACATCAGCAGAGAACTGCCGGAAGTCCAGGCTGGGTTTAGAAGGGGTCGTGGTACTAGGGATATTGTAGCTGATGTTAGATGGATCTTGGCTGAAAGCAGAGAATACCAGAAGAATGTCTATCTGTGTTTCATTGATTATGCAAAGGCATTTGACTGTGTGGATCATAACAAACTACAGCTGACTCTGAGAAGAATGGGAATCCCAGAACATTTCACTGTGCTAATGCGAAACCTATACTTGGACCAAGAGGCAGTAGTCAGAACAGAGCAGGGTAACACTGCATAGTTCAAAATTGGGAAGGGTGTGCGCCAGGGATGCATCCTGTCTCCATACCTTTTCAACATGTATGCAGAGCAGATTATCCGAGAGGCTGGGCTCTATGAGGAGAATTGTGGCATCAGGATTGGTGGAAGATCTATTAACACTCTGCATTATGCAGATGACACAACCCTGCTTGCTGAAACTGAGAAGGACCTCATGCACTTACTGCGAAGGGTCAAGGACTGCAGCCTTCAGTACGGACTAAGGCTCAATGTCAAGAAGACAAAGATTCTCGCCACTGGACCAATTGGCAGCGTCAGGATGGATGACGAAGAGATTGAGCTTGTTCACTGCTTCAGTTTGCTCGGCTCCACAGTCAACACTCTTGGCACCAGCAGTCAGGAAATCAAAAAGCGTATCGCGATGGGAAAGTCTGCTGTTAGGGACCTCTCTAAGGTACTCAGGAGCAACAGTGTCTCTCTGGAGACTAAGGTGCGCCTGATACAGGCCATGGTATTTGCAATCGCTTGTTATGCATCAGAGAGTTGGACAATGACTAGGGAGGACAGAAGGAGAGTGGATGCTTTTGAGCTGTGGTGCTGGAGAAGGGTACTGAATGTACCATGGACTGCCAGGAAAACAAACAGATTCATCTTGGAGAGGATTAAACCAAGCTACTCCTTGGAGGCAAGGATTCTGGGGCTTCGTCTGACATACTTTGGACATGTTTCCAGGAGGGACGGGTCCTTGGAGAGGGACATCATGCTTGGGAGGGTGGAGGGACAGCGCAGGAGGGGAAGACCCTCTATGAGATGGATTGATTCGGTGACTGGGGTAATAATCAGGATGGGTGTGTCAGAGGCGGTGCGGTTGGCACAGGATAGAGCAGGGTTTAGGGCTGTTGTGCATAGGGTCGCTATGAGTCGGAAATGACTCGACAGCACATAACAACAACAACAAACTAAATCCATTGCTGTTAAGTGGATTTCAACTCACAGGCACAGCATAGGACAGAGTAGAATTGCCTTTAGGGTTTCCAAGGCTCTAAATCTTTAAAGAAGCAGACACTTCTACATATTCCTGTGGAGTAGCTGATGGATTCAAACCAACTGAAAGCTTAGCCCATTTAGTCACCAGCATTCCTCAAATGCTCAAAGTAAAAAACCGCATTACCTTCTGCTTGAGCAGATTCAGCTGATTCTCCATCTGGTTAATGATACTGTAAACCGCACTAGTTTGCCTATCTTTCTCTGTCAGGATCACTGGGGTATTTCAACTGCTCAGCCTTTGGGCTACTGTGTAACTCCCTAAGGATTATTACACCAACGACTGTGGTTGTCTTGGGTTTTGTTGTGTATCACTGAGTCAGAACTGACCCATAGCTGGCCCTTTAGCCAGTTTTCAGAGGCAGTTAATAGCGTGGGAAGAGTGTCCATCTTTCTCCGATGGTAGATTTGAACCACATGCCTTTGAGTTGGCAGCGCAATTCTTTACCACCAGTTGTTGTTAGGTGCCGCAGAGTTGTAGACGACTCATAGTGACTCTATGAACAAAGGCCTGATGAGCACTGTTCCTTCGTAGAGTTTCCGGAGGCAAGCCATTTCGGAAGTAGATGCCGCTCCTGCTTCCAGGCCTATTTTAGTCGGGAAGCTCCAGCAAACACTGTCCACCATGGGTAACCATTACCATGTTTGGCACATCAGTGTCCCTAGTTACCACCTAGCCACTAGCAATTCTCCATTGCTAGCCTTCATATGCTAGCAGTGACATTTGAGGAGCTGGTCCCAGGACTTCTGAACAGTGCTAGATAACGAAATGTTCTTTTTCACACCAGCAGAAATAAATAGGTCTTAACCCATCTAGTATGATTGTGGAAGGATCACAAGCCAATGCTTGCCCTTGTTATTGTTATGTGCCATGGAGTCGCCTGTGACTAAGAAGCCTGCTCTGAAGCCTGCCCTGTCCTAGCCAGTCTCATTAATTCTGACACACCTACCCCCGTTGCCTCAGTTACTGTATTAATCCATCTTATCCAGGGTCTTCCTCTCTTGCCTTATCCCTCCACCCTTCTGAGCATGATGTCCTTCTCTAAGGACTGGTCCCTCCTGGCCGCATGCCCAAAGTATGTGAAATTGAGCTTCAAAATCCTAGCCTCCAAGGAGAACTTGATTCACTCTCATCAAGACAGACCTATTTATTTTCTTAGCGGTCCATTATATGTCATTGTGTCATTAGTCTCTCTGATACAGAGCAAGTAATCGCAAAGACCATTGCCTGTATTAGGTGCACCTTAGTCTCTAGACTGACATCGTTGCTTTTCAGCACCCTGGAGAGGTCCCTGACAGCAGATTTCCCTAAATGCAGTTATTCTTTTGATTTCCTGACTGCTGGTGTTAAAAGTGTCGTTTTGGGGAGCAGAGCAAGCTGTAATTGGTAACAACCTCTATCTATCATAGTGTTTCCAGTTGGCCCAGTCATGAGAATGCTTGCTAGCAGTTGTTATTCTTAGTTGTCATCCAGTTGTGTACAACTCATAGCAACCCTATGAACAACAGATCTTAACTCTGTTCTATCCTGTATCATTTTCATCATCCCCAACTCACTTGAGCCCATTGTCATAGAGACTGTATTAATCTATCTCATTAAGAACCTTCCTCTCAATACTATGCTGCATTAAAAAACAAGGAACTCACACAATATTATTCAAAATGGTTGACTCTGGAGAACATTATGCTGAGTGAAATATCCCAGTCACAAAGGGACAAATATTACATGATGCCACTATTGTAGAATGGGACTGTCCTTGGGGTTAGGGAGAGACTGAGTAAGATGGGTTCAATGATGTGTGCTGCACTGAGGCGGAGGAGGGAGGGAACTGTTTAAAAGAGATAT